TTAACAATTTACTTGATCACAAAGTAAGAATAGTGCGTTTATCATGTCAACTTATTGTGATTGTTTGTGCTGATTGTTCTCACACACCTTCATAAAGTCAAATTATCACTGACAACAACTTCTGTTTATCCGCATTTAATTGCTTTTCTGGATGTCAGACGTTGCTGCTAGTTTTACACTGTAGTGATCACAAGCACTGACAGTTTCATCATCATTAGAACCACAAATTCTCTTCTTTTGTGTCACTAATATTGAAAATAATGTTCCGTAGTTGCGCTAGATGTGTAATATAAGAAAGTCATTGTGATCTCAGGATAAATGTGACAGTTTTATCGGTTCAGTTTGATAAGTGTTGGTAATGGAGCTAGCCTTTCACTTAATTTGGGCTGGATTTAAGTCCTTGTTTTTCAAACAACACCACAAACAATCAATATAGTATCATGCCATCAAATCAGATGACCATTCTCCCTGTAACATCAGGATATTCCCACATCCAAAACTCCATTGCTTACAATGTTCTGTTAATATGCACGTTAAGATTCACTGCACTTTATGGAAAGAAATGTGGGGTGGTGGGGCAGGGAGAGAAAAGAGAGCAATTCAGTTTATTACTGCTGTATTAAGTCAGTTCATCTCAGCTAAGCCAGTACTTAAGAGCACTATGGTTGTATTGAAGAAGAAAAAATTAACTTGTTTCTGGACCTTTATTGTTGTTAATGACTTGTATGAATGAAGTGTGGTTTGGACCCAGCACTAATGTTTTCCACATATTAACAGTTTGTTGATAACTTGCAGCCAAGGTTTGCGCATAACCACTAGGTCCAAGTTGCAGATACTTTGAGACTCAATGGTGCAAGGAAAGAAACTTCAAGGTTCAAATGAGCATTTTGAGATTTTTTTCCCACCAAATGTTTAAGTTCTTCTGTTCATTGTCTTTTATGTGGTTATATTTTAACTTTTGTTCTTCACACTTATTACCCTCTCTTTAAGGCACAATTCCTGTAGAACTACAGTTGCACATCAACCCTCTGTATGAACAAGGTAGTACCTCTTTTGTATGGGAATTATAAATGGTGAGTACTTCATCAGGGGTCATCATAGCTAAATTTGGTCATCCGTTCTTCTATTCACAAGTGCATTTTCTACAAGAGCTGTTTGCTTAGTCTGCTCTGGAATTCTGGTTGACATTCTCTTCTCAAAGCCAGGCTTAGTATTTTTCTACCATCATACTGTGATTGCTTAGAGACCAATGCTGAGAACAGCAAAAAGTCAATACTGTGGACTGAAAGGTTGTAAGCAGTTTCATGTAAAACGCCTTTAGCAGAGTTGAATTCCAGCTAATGAATAATTTATAAAATAACGATGTAGCAAATTAATGTTGTGAATATGCAGTCATTTTTAACCATCTTCTGCATCTCCTTCATGCATTGTCTGAAAGTTAAATATCTGGGTGGTGAGAATGATCTTGGACTTTCGGATGTGAAGTTTGTCTGTATGAGAGATCTGTTCTTCCCTAAAGCGCACAATGCAAGTGTCAATGAAGATAATACTGAAACCAAATACAGTAGCAAAGTCCATGCTTAGAGCAGCCTTTTGTGTTACATCATGAGTGATTTACTGTCTTCCCTCAAAATAGCATGAAAGAGATTGGTGGTATTAAACAGATCTCCAAATTAATTTTGAAATATCGACAGTTCATTTCTATTCTGGTGGTGTGCCTTTTCATTAAACTAATTATCTTAAATCAGAGAGCAGAAGGAAGATTTCTTCATCCACCCATCGGAATCCAATTCTAAATACATACTAAAAACACAAAAATCCTATTTTATCTGGGAGGAACGTTCTTGATTCCATTGTCTATCTTTTTCTTGCCACTTTCCAAAGAATGATTGCCAATCAGGTCTTTAAGCATCAAAGTGTGCAAGGATCCCCTTGAAACGAAGCTGTCTAGAACTTCTGATGCTTGCTGTTTTCTGATGACTGCATTTTTCTTGCCAATATTGCCTTTGGCACGTTTAATGAACCGTAGAAATGATACAGCACAGAAAGGGGACGTTCTGCCTATCTTGTTCACGCTGTCCCAAAAACACCCAGATGCCCTTTCTAATCCCATTTTCCTGCACACGACCCATAGCCCTGCAACTTACAGAATTTAAGGTGCAGATCTAGTACTTTTTATGCTTGTTGCAGTAATACATTTGGATGTTACTTGGCACCTAATCTTCAACAAATTTCACCAGTAACCGGAAAAAACAACCTAGTATACAAGTGCTATGCAGCTAGAAGAACCTCTCATCATTGCAGAACTTGCTTTGATACCTCTTAACATAACCCTTTGCACTCTCAAGATCAGTGATGAGGTGTAGTCCTGATTCGTCACCTAATGAACATCAATAATGGCTGGCTGTCGGTATGTAGGAACTGAGAAAATGGAGAGTAACTTCATAAAGGAATTTGAACAGGAAGGGAAAATTCAAGTTCATATATTGATAGATTAGGTGAAATTCTAGACAGCAAGGAAAAGGGTGTTGGATGAGCTGGAATGGATTAGAATAAGATATAGTAGCATTGTTTTGGATTAGGTTAGATGCTAAGAGAATAAACTTAAATACTGAACATGCTAGTGCTGTTTTCTCTCTTTTTCTAAAAAAAGAAAAATCTGAAGTTTGTTTTAAAATCATGAAGTTTACTAAGATAGAAGTATGTGGGGGTTTCCACTAAGGCCCAAAAATAATGGATGCAAAGAATAACATTTTTATATAAGGTTTTTCATGACCGTCCAACATCTGTGCAAAAAACAACCAAGTTAAGTACTTTTTGAAACAAACATTGAAGCTGGAGAAACTCGACCTCTGTCAGAAGTAATTTTTTAATTCCAACACCTTTCAGTTTGGCACTCAAAATTAACTGTTTCTGACTTCTCAGATGCTGCTAGAACTGCTGACTTTTTCGAGCGCTCTATTTCCAAAGTCAGCGTGGAAAGAATATTTCTTCAGCCAACCATCTGAATCCAGTTCTAAATACATACATATTAGAAAATTGTTTCAGATTCCACATTTTGCTTTCATTTATGTACTTTTTGGAGTAATTGTTTTAAAAGCCAGGTAACTAATGTGAGCTCAGCACAGTCCACAATCAGTAATGTAATAATTATCGATAATTAATCTGTTTTCTCATCTGTTGTTTGAGTGCCAAATAATGGTTGGGTCACTGGGGAAAGCTCCCCATACTTTGTCAAATATTACCTGAGATTTCCAACGTTCACCTAAGCAGACATGGTGCCATGTTTCAATGTCATCTGAAAAACTGTATTTCTGACAGCTTAACATTCTCTGTGTCAAACTCAACTTGTGTGTTCAAGCCCTGCATTAATTCAATCCACAATATTGAGATTCAGAGTCAAGTGCAAATTGAGCTAAACTTACTTGCCCAAAAAGTAGAGGGAATTCAGACCTGATTGACAGAAGGGTTGAGGCAAATGATAGCTATGTAAGGAGAAAAGGATTGAAGGTTATGCTAGTTGGATGAAGCAGAGTGAGAGAAGGTTGTGGAGCATAAACACCAACATTGAACCGGCTTTTAAACTAGTCCATGCTGTTCAATCTGTGGAGATAGAGAAGTGTAAAGAATAGATCTTTCACACTGATAGCAGAGGCTGTGGAGGGGACCAGAAAATGATGGAGAGATGGTTATGGATGGGAGGGGACAGGGTTTGACATTCCAGAAAAAATAGTAATTGCACATCACACCGTACAGGTCTCCTGTGGCTGCCAGGCCAATCACACTTTGCCTCTTGGCTTAGGCCTCCCACTCCTCTGGGTGATTTGCCCAACTAGCTGCCCCAATGAAGGGTATTTTCTAGTGTGATTTTGGTACTTTCCAGGGTGATTTTGTCCCCAATCCTCTTGTATTTTTAGCATTGGTGTTGATGGTGCCCCGCAACATGCTGCCCAAAGCAATAACCCTGATATGCCTTTTTATAGGGATTATCTTGTAGAATGGGACTGGTTGAGGCCACCATAAATATCCTACCTTCTTGACCTTGCCTGAGGTGTGGTAACTTTCAGGTTAAATTCATCACCAGTCCCCTCCTCCTCAGAGCAGCCTTATGGTCCTCTTAAGACTATGACAACTTTAGAATTGGGTGTTACTAGAGTCAACAATGGGTTCCTTCACAAATGGTGGGAGGGAGCGTCTGTATCCCTGACCTTTAATTACCCTAGTCCTAAATGGATGAGATGAATACTGCTACAATTACTGATATTTTCTAAACCGTCTGTTCAGAGATGTTATTACACAACACGGGAACAGATGGAGCTTCAACGTAGGCCTCCTGCCTTCGTGCCCTTTCCTCTATCACATTGTCATTCATTCATTGTATCTTGCACATATTTTTCGTGGTCCATGGTTGTTTGCTTTGGAAATATGCCCACAAAGTGTAAAAGAAAAACTTTTCTTTGCATATTGTTGACATTTAATACAGCAAGTGACTGGAAAAGATGTCTGCGTTATTTGGCTTTTGTGCAGATTTGAAAATATTGCAATCCTTTGTAATCAACTGTTTGCTTAATAAACAACAATTTGAATGAGATTCAAGTCAGTGCTGCAGCCTTTGCCTAATAATACTAGTAAACATGCAACAAGTCAATTCATTAAATTTATCCTCAAATTGACCAAATCATGAGATAGAAATTACAGTTAGAAATAAGGCTATTTTCTGAATTTGTGTTCTATAGATGTAAGTTAAAGCATTAAGTACAGAAACCATCTATACAGAAAAAAGGCCGTTCCCATGTTGTTACAGTGTAATTATCAAAACGTTGTAGGAAATGATTTCAATTGCACAAATTATATACTTTATTTACTTGAACAAACCCGTGGTATGACTACATCCTGTTCTGATTTTTTTACATGATTATATTAAGATAACTTCACAAAGCTCGATGAAAGCAGCCGTAAATTGTGACGTTTTCAGCGCAGTAGAATTAGATCTGAAAAAAAGTTGAAATACACTGTTCAGTAAGCTTTTCGGTATATTTTTGTGGAGTCCTGCATCATTCACTGATGCTTGGGCAATGATTAGGATGACAACAAAAGCCTATAGACCCTCCATTAATCTTGTCTCATAGAATACATATTATAGACTAAATCACCAACTGCTCCGATGAGCAAGAGCCAAAGTGGTATAAAAACGAAAGTGAGTTTCATTTGTGAGAAATGTTCCAGTCTGGCACTCAGTGCCAACAGAAAACTTAGTTTAAGCAGCATGGCGCAGAAATACCAGACTTCCTTCTTGAGATTATTACTGTTCCTGTCATAGCCCGATTTGCATCTCCCTATAATCTTTACGATCGACATCATTAACAAAATGGTATCAAAAATCCAGAGCGGGATGAATATGAGGATCCAGTTCCAAGGAGCTTTATCGTCCAATTTCAGGACCAACACAATTAAGAAGAGCAAGGTAAAGAGCCAAGTCATTAAAACCCTCTGTGCTAATGACATTCTCATCTAAAACAGCTGCAGGAAATACTGCCCGCCTTTCGAATATTTTCTCGCTGTTTCGACAAATGTTACGATACTGTTAAACAAGTTTCATTTCATATCTTGCAGTCTCTTACGTCAGTGCTAATTGCTCTGAATTATATTTGCACGTCGTTTTCTCCATTTTATTCTTCATGATACTTTGCCTAATAACATCGACTCCGTGAAATCCGAATATTGACTAAAATAAAAATCACCGCTTGGCCATTGTTACAAAGATGTCGAGTATGAATCTGACTCGGGTTAAGAAGCTCTTGAATAGCAGGCGAAGCTGCAGCTCATGTCCCTTCGCAGACTTTACTGCCAAGACCTGAGCTTTCTTCTCCCCTTCCCCAGCGTACCTCGACTAAAGCCAAACAAAATGTAGCCGTTGTCTGACCCAGAGTCCCGCCCAAAGCGTGCAGCGATTGGTGGTTTAAATTATTCGAATTTTATTCCGTTTGCAATTGCGAGATCATACTGTCAATTAGCCATGTTGCTACACTTCCGGGAACGGTAAACGGAGGCCTTTATAAAACAGTAGAACCTTTTCCGTTTACTGGCTATATGTTGCTTTATGTGCATGATTTACTTCTTGTAATTACTAAACATGTCAATAATCAACTTCATTAATTTTACTTGCAATGCACTTTTATTGAGGACTGACGTAAACCATTATTCTTAAGATTGAATTAATTTTAATCTAAACCCTAGATAAGATGGTAACTTTTGTAATATATCGTTGAGAATTAGGGAAATTAATTTCCACATTTAGGATTATCTGGCTGATTGAGTTAATGTGGCAGTACCTTGACATCGATATTGCGGTTGAATTATTAGGATAGGTAATATATTTCATCAAGTGGAAGAGCTTGAATAGTTGCAATGGACAGGGATGTTGTTATAAGGCACTGACCATTTACCAATGAGCAAGAAAGATGGATAAAGCAAGACCAATTAGTCCATTTAGTCTGTAGTATTCAATAATATTGCCTCTAAGCAATATAACTCTGAATGTTTTCTTCCCATCATCAACCAAGAGGTTTTCATGGAGAAGCAAATAGATTATTTTTTTTAAATCCTCAACCAGTTAGGTTAAAAATAAATGAGAAATCTTCTTCTGAGAGCAATCAGAAACTAATTCCAGTACACTGTTGATCACATGAGTGTTTTCCATTTTTGTATATTCACGTTTGGAATATTGTGAGCAGTTTTGGGCCAATATCTAAGGAAAAATATGCTGATGTTGGTAGGGGTCCAGAGGAGGTTTACAAGAATGATCCTCGGGGTGGGGGGCTTGTCATAAGAGGAGCAGTTGAGGGCTCTGGGTCTGTATTGGAGTTTAGAAGGATGAGTGGGGGATCTGATTGAAACTTACAGAATACTGAGAGGCCTGGATAGAGTGGACATGGAAAAGATGTTTCCACTAATAGGAGAGACTAGGACCCGAAGGCACAGCCTCAGGTTGAAGGGATGGCCCGTTAGAACTGAAATGAAGAATTTCTTCAACTAGAGGGTGGTAACTCTGTGGAATTCATTGCTGCAAAGGCCTGTGGAGGGCAAGTTTTTGAGTGTTTAAGACAAGATAGATGGGTTCTTGATTAGTAAGGGGATTAAGGGTTAGGGAGAGAAGGCAGGACAATGGGGTTGAGAAAGCTATCAGCCATGACTGAATGGGAAAGCAGACTCAATGGGCTGAATGGCCTAATTCTACTCCTATATCTACGGTCTCATGTATCTAGCTTCTACTTAGTTGATATTAATGTGGTGGCATTAACAAATACTGACAGTGAAACTTATACTGCTGTTCAAGTTTTTGAAGAAGGTTAAAGAACAAATTTTTTTCCAAAATTTGCATGAAAGAATTGCTTCTAACCAGTTCCTAAGTGTCACTATCTTTCTAAATTAGGTGTCATACCACCACCTGCAATGTTTCAAATATAAGTCATGTGATAATCTGTAGTTCAATTGTAACTCACTCAAAATTTATTCACTTAATCAGAGTTTAAGGTCTATTACACATAAAATTATTGATCCTGGTTGTTGTAGAGAATCCGACATAGTAAAAGGTAGCTTTCTGGGAAGGGGATGCCGGAAGGTATTCTTCAAATAGCATATGTCAGGGAAGGAAATTGCAAACTTAAAAGTGCAAGTGTCAAATGTGTTCTGTATGTATATGTGGACAGAAAAGATAAAAGATCCTCCTTGCTTTGGGGATTGATATTTTAAGAACGTGGTAGATGGAGAATAGTGTCTCACATATAAATTAGTTGAATCTCATTGTTTTCTTTTGAATTTGCCTTGTCTTCATTATAAGCAATTTAGTTTCAATTTAACTAAAGATCTGGGATTGCTCAAATTATGGTTTACATTCATATCACTCCATTGTTATGGGTCTCTTTTCTAATCCCATTGTTATCTGGACGCTATCATTGTTTTTACAAATTTAGTTGTCCATTAAGTACTTTAGCAACTTCTCAGATAGTGAAGGAGTCTGTGCGCATATGCAGTGAAACTCAGACATCATTTAGGCTTGGACTAATAAGTTGCAAGTATCATTTACACAATGCCAATGTTAGGCAATGATCATTTCCAGCAAGAAAGAATTTAACCATCTCCCCTTGACATTTAACAACGTTGCCATTGTTGAAACTTCACCGTTAACATCTTGGAGTCATCATTGACCAGAAATGTAGCCAGATTGGCCACATAAATACTGTGGCTACGGAAAGCAATCAGAAACCTGGAATTCTGTCGTAACACAGCTGCTGTTCCCCAAAGCCTTTCTAACATCTAAAAGACAAAATTTAGGAATATGATGTTATAAACCGCACTTGGCTGGAATAGTCAACTCCAACACTCAAGAAATTTGACAGCGTTCACCATTGATTAAGCATTCACTCCCTCAGTTACAGTACACAGTGATTGCAGTGTGTACCACATACAAGAAGCACTGTAGCAACTTGCCAAAACACCTTTGGTCGCACCTTTCCAACCAATGACTTTTATTGCCAAAAAGAAAGTGGCAGCAAGCATTGGGGCGTACCATAACATGAGCATATCTCCAACTCTCACAATACTCTGACTTGGAAAAGCATCACTTTCTTCAGTATTGATCAAGATCCTAGGACTCCTTACCTAACAGCACTGTGGGTGTACCTACAGAAGAAAAGACTTCAATGGTTCAAGAATATGGTTCATCACCAACTTTTTTAGGGTCATTTGGAATGGGCAATAAGTTTTATTGGTATAAACTTCGTGCATTAGTGGTAGATAGCTGTGCCTTAAATACAGTATATATCTAAAGTACTGTGGACTGACCTAACAGAATGAAATATTAGTTTGTTTATTTCACGTTACAACAAGCCCAGTAAACAATACATAATGCACTGCATGTGAAGCAGGGTCAACAGATTGCTGATTTGTTTGCGGTAGCTTATTATGTACTGTTATTTTCCCTTAACTTTGTAGGCAGAACTTAGGGGTGAAATGACTGAGAAATGGATCCATTCCACGAAAGAATTTCAAAAGTTCATCAGATAAGATTTGCCCTTTTTGAGCTTGAGGAGCATTTTCCAGTGAAGAGTAGTGTTAAACCAAGCCGAATGCAATTGGCTGATAAAACCTGTGCTATTTAATATGTGCACCAATTCTCGAGCATTAAAGAAATGAATTTGTTGACCTGCAAACAATTGACCAAGTAAATATACTAAGCCTCTTTTATTTCATAATCTCACACTGCAATGCATCTTCAAACACTTCGTTGAAAGTTTGGTAGAACATCTCAACAATGACATGCCTTTACCATTGTGACCTGTCCCAAAGTACTTCACAGGGGTATTATAAAACAATGTTTCAGGAACCTTTGCTTCCTCTTCCTAAGGGATATAAGGGATGTGAAGGAAGGTTAGGAACTCTCTCAAGCTGGCTCACCACACTCATTTGGAGTGGCTCATCCTGTTTGGTTCTCACCTTTACCCTGATGTATACTTATGGTTTCAAGTCCCCCCAGTTTTATTCCCAGCTCGTCCTTATCCTTTTCCATAACTTTCCTAATTCTAACTCCGTTATGGTCACTATCTCCAAAATGCTATAGGCATATAAATAGTAAGCAAGCGGTTAAAAGAGGAATAGAGACCAAAGAAGAGAAGTTCAAAATAACTTGCTCTATCCCATATTCTAAACAAATGAACAGAGAGGATATGGGGTGTTTGGGGTTCAACTCGAGCATTCCAACAGGGCAAACGATGACCAGATGATATCATTAAGAAACACTATCACACAGCCAGATGACTTCAATCAGCATCTATTCACCTCCATAAACCTTTTACACAAAATAAACACACATTCTTTGCTGTCTCTGGAAAAACAATACCAAGTCTTTGTAAGGCAATTACCAAACATAATTGTACAGTAATGCAATTATTAGTTATTAATTATTGATTATCAATTATCCACAGCACTGAGGCTATTGTGATGTGGCTTTTGTCTACCTGATAATGTTAGCTGTAACTAATGATAAAACATATATAAACCATGCTCATTTTGAACTTCATTGGAGAAGCATCTGGATTGCTCAGTCTTTGCTCCGGCATGAATGTGTGTTACAATCACTGAACATTGCAGCTGGACTCAGAGTGTCAATTTTACATGAGTATCCCTTTGGACCTTTCATGTTCAACCTTTATAACATAATCTCTTTGTCACACGAATGAGTTGAGCGAGCTTTCTCTGATCTGCTTCTAATCCATAAATATATCCTTTTCAAATGAGAAACCAAAGCTGAACACAGTACTCCAGATGTGGTCTTCCATCTTACTGAAAGATAGCCTGTCTGACAATGCAGCCAACAGTCAGTACAAAACTGGAGAACCATTCTGAAGAAGGGTCATTGGACCCAGAATGTTAACGCTGATTTCTCTTCAAAGATGCTGCCAGACTTTATGAAGGTAATTGGAGGCAGCAGGAGTTAGTGGCCTTGCTGAACTAGTGGTTCGTATTGTTTGTTTGTAATTGATGCTGAAAGTGGATTGAGTAATGTGTGGTGGTGACAAAAGTATTGAACCAGGGTTTCAGTGGGAGATGGGGATCAAGGCCAGAGAT